GATGCTATGCGGTGAAGTATCAGTATTGACATGATAATAATGGTTATAAACCCCATTTCATCAAAGGATTCGGGTAATTGTTAGAATCAAAGGGATTCGGGTAATGGTTGGTATAGTTGAGTAGAGGATTATTCATATATATCCAGTTTAGTGCTTGGGCACTTAAAACCACTAATTAGACGTTGAGTTGACGCTATGTAACCCAAACACAATTTAAGTACTCTAGAGAAGTAGACTAGCATGTCAAGGTGCTGACGCTATGTGACCCGGACCTAGCCTAGGGTACTTGTGAATGCTAATGCTATGTGACTCAGATCTCTTTCTTTAGTGAGCAAATAGGGGTGCGAGTTCCGTTATGCTTTTGCGATCCTGAACTACACCATGATGCTTGCTTTTGCTGTTGTGGGTTAAATTTACTCTTATGTTCATAACTATACCCGTAGCATGCTCATTTGTTGGATGCATGTAGTATAGTTGTGTTATTTGTGTGGCACTGAGCTTGTGAGCTCAACGTTCGGAATGTGTTTCCGTGCACATGTTAGTATATTGAGCCGTTTGAGGAGCACCGTTGTCGCAGGACTTCCGACATTCCTCATAGAGTAATGTTTGGTTATTTGTAGTGGGCATGTTTATTCATAGGACCCTTTTTGTTGTATTCAGATTTGTAAACTTTGAGATTTTATTATTTTGATTTAAACTATATGTCGCGAAGCTCCAGTTTGTAAAAGTATTTTATGAATATTGTTAAAGTCATTTCATAAATATATAGTGTTTTAAATGAAAAAAAGTGATTAATCACTTTGGTGGTTCCGTGTGACATTCGAATCATTCGGACTTTGGGTCGGATTAGGGTGTTACAATCGATACTTTCAAATTTAAAAAAACATGGAAAATGATATTTTAACTTTTGAATTTAAAAGTGTTGAAACTTTGCAGTCTTTTCCTTTTTCATGTTTTTCTTTAAACTCGAAAGTATCGATAATATCGCTATTTTTGGGAAAATATCCATACTTTCGAGTTTTTTATAATAGAAAAATTAACATTCCATATCATAACTCATTTTCTTAGTGAACCATAATATTCTTAGGCGAAACTCATTTTATTAATAAAAATATTAACATTTCAGATTGCAACCTATTTCTTAGTGAACCGTGACATTCTTGGGTGCAACCCATTTTATTAAAAAAAATATTAATATTTCATATCACAACATATTTCTTAGTAAACCGTGACATTTTTTGGTGTAACTCATTTTATTAATAAAAATATTAACATTCTAGATCACAACTTGTTTCTTAGTGAACCATGTCATTTTTAGGCGCACCCATATTTGTTATATAATTCATAACATTTTTCAGCTTTTAACCTATTTGCTTATCATAGTAATGTCTAAGGACCCATCAGCTTAAACTCTGGTAACATTTTTTTATTGTTTATAACATTTTAGGTGTAATCTATTGTGTTACTGTATTGATAACTTTTTCAGTTATGCTTTATAACATTTTGTGTTCCGGTTTTAACCTGTAAAATAGGTTTCTCAATTATATCATTTTAAATTATTTTAAAATAGTTACAACTCAATATATTATAAATAAGTTAACATTTTCAGTCCCACTAAATCAGTTCTGTTAAAGACTTTTCAATTTTTCGGTGACGCCTTTTTTAGTCTTATATTAATATGTCGTTTCTAAGAATCCCCCATATTATGGCCCATACCTCTAATTGAATGCTTTTAGTGGGTGTTTGGTTCAAGGATTGTGGGGTTCCCATGTTTGGTTGGCCGAGAATCTCATTCCCGGTAATGTTTTATTACCAATAGTAGATTTTTTAGGGTATATTACCTGGAATGTCATTACCTCCCTTCCCTTAGGTATTGTAACATTACCGGCGTTTTGGACTAAAATATCCTTAATTTTTTTTTCTTTCAAAAATATCATTCTTCTGTCATTGAATAATAAAAATTATACGAAGGTTAAATTAAAAATTTATCCTTAAATTATTTTAGATTTACAAAAAAAAATCTATAATTAAAATTTTATATGAAGTTCAGGGGTTAAAAAAATTTTTCCCTCTCATTAAACCTTTTTTATATTTTTAATTTTGTAAAAAAATTATATAAATATTATGAATTTAATTTTTTAAAGAAAATATATAAATATTTTACAATTTGTAATATTATACAAATATATAATAAGGACAATTTGGTCAAATATACATTCCAATAATCTTTTATTCATTTAACCAAACACGGTAATTTTACATTCATGCTAAACCAACCAAACACAAAATACAACATTCCCAGTAATCATATTCCCTGATAATCTTTTATTCACACTTGTAATCTTACATTCTGTGAACCAAACACACCCTTAGTAATAGCCACTCCAACATATTTTATAATTTTTTTTATCTAAAACCAACATATTATTTGGTCAATGAAATATTAGATCTTTTAAATAATGTTAGAGATTTGAATTTCGATGTTTGCGAAAAGAGTAAATTAGGTTGGAAAGGTAGTCTTACCTTTGTAATACCCTATTTGAATTAAATGATTAATAGATCAGATACATATGGTTATCCCTAAAAAAATTGATTTAAAATTTAAATGTTATTATTAAAATGTATTTAAAAAATAAATTATAAAATAACCTTACCATAAAATAATAAATCATATGGTTATCCCTAAAAAAATTGATTTAAAATTTAAATGTTATTATTAAAATGAATTTAAAAAATAAATTATAAAATAACCTTACCATAAAATAATAAATCAGATGTTATTGTAGGTTTAAGTACGTTCAAACTCGTGAGTTTTAAAATATTGCAACAACAATAATATCAATTAATTTAAGACCCGATTGTCTAAATTTTTTTATTTATTGAATTTAGTTTATTAAATTTTGATAAAATTCCGTTTATTTTTATGCAAATAAAAGTTATTAATTTTTTAAAATAAAAAAAATCTTTTTCATAATCTGATTTTTTTGGGGTTCATTCATTATCATAATAGTAATAAATAAAACTAAAATAAAAATAAAATAATTATTTATTATACGATAAAACTGGTAAGAGCATATATATATATATATATATATATATATATATATAAACCATTGATTTTATTCAAAATAAGAAATATCTCAAAATACAATGAAAATTAATAATCATAATTATAAATTAAGCATATGATCAGGATAATTTCCTATAATCATTGAAACAAAAACTAGCGACTTAAGATCACATAAGGACCATACAAGGAAATATTAAAAATCTAACCAATAATCTCGAACAAAGATTGATACAAACAGATATGATCGCATCGATAAATTAACTATAAAAGGGGATCGGGTTAATTAAAGATCACCGATAGACTCAAACGACGTGAAAAACTATCAACGAACGCAAATTGAGTATACAAACCCAATCTGAGCGTCCAAAGCAGGAAAGATAAAAAAATATAACATATAAGCGTCATCTTGATCTGTCATGTCAAATTAACCATTAGAAAAAGATAAATAAAAAATAGTCAAACGATCGAAAAAACATGCTAAAAGACATAAGAAAACGTGTCATAACGCAGATAAAAATGTGTCATACAAACAACTATATTAAATATTTTTAAAAATAAAAGAAAATAAAGATGCAATATAAAAAAAAATAATAAAGAATACCAACAGTCGACAACTAACTTTAAAATTTATGCCGCCATTGGTCAATAAAGATGAAAAGGAAAAGAGATGGACAATACACCAATAAGAAAAAAAACTAAGTTTTGAAGAACGTTAACCGTTTTTTTAATAGTATATTTTAATTTTGATTTTTTTTGGGGTAAAAGGGTCACTGTTGTATTTGTAGTAAACCTAATTTATCATTTTCGCTCTTATATTCTTTTAAATCAATTTAGTTCTCAAAATTGTTTATGGTGTTCATCATAACCCTCGAAGTCTGTTTTAATTAACATAACCAACCATTAGCCTTCTGCATTTTTCAACACCAACAATTTTCATAACATCTAAATATTACTGACGTGGCTTGTTGATAACATGATATTTATTAATAAAATATTTATTAAATACAACGGTTATAAAAAAATATCCAAAAATTTGATATAATTCCTCAATTTAACGGAAATAAATAATAAAAAATTAAGAATTTGTTCTAACCAATGTATTTAATAAATATTTTAACATAACCTCTTAATCCACAGACGCATAAGAGTCACAATCCTGTTAGTCAAAAACAGTCAACGGACTTCAAAAGTTAAATTGATGCAAAAAACGATATGGACGAAAATGATAAATTGAATTTACTACAAGAACAATAACAACCCTTAAGCCTTTTTTTTTATTAATTTTATGTAAATATAAGATTATATATGCTCACTCGGAATCTAAGGAACAATAATAATTTCTTTTATCATTTTTATAACTTATTCGTGGTTAATACATTATTGTTAGATTAAACAATTTGTGCATCCCAAAATTTTGTTATTGGAACGGTTTTAAGTCGGTTAATTATTCAATATGAATATTTTAAGATTTTTGATAACCCCAAAGATATATATTAGCTTTTTAAAGTAACAAATGGACAGACATACGTGAACTATAAGTCTATGATAATCCAATTTATTATTAGGCACATGAAATAAAAAATAAATAAATTAACCCATCAAAGTCAACATTATTTTGATAAATATCTAAAACGATATTATTTTGATTTAAATTTAACTTTCGCTAAAAATACAAAAATGATATCGTTTTAGTATAAATTGTCATGGGGTAGTTAATTTTTTTAGAATGGATTCATCGAAACAATAACAAGTTGAAAGTTAAATTATTAAATTGAAATGTTTTAAATTCTAATGGTCAAAATAAAAAATGAAAAGAAAATTGAGTGAGAAAAATAGTTTACTCAAATATTATACAGTAGCGTCGAAGTTTCTTTAATCTATTCTTCAAAATAAATTTCTCATTGTTCACAATTGTGAACCCTGTTCATTTATATCAAAGCCGAAGAAGTCTTTAATATCAGCCCTTTTCTCTTAATTCATATTCTCTGCCTTCCTCGTTCCCCGATCCTGATCGTAGATCGCCTCTATTTGATCGTTCGAAGAATCGATCGAGCGTCGGTGGCCGGGGGTTACAGTTGTGGCGGATTTGAAGTTGGTTATTGCAAAAAGAAAAACAGAACATAAATTGAATTTGATACACTTTTACTATTTATTCTTTTGGGGAGGTTAAGGTTTTGGTGAAAAGGGGATTTGCATAAGATTTTGAGCGGTTTTTAATTTTAGAGATGTTGACCATAACCGTTGGGCTTTGAAATACTAAGGAACTGGTTGTTACACGACAACAAGATGACGCTTTACATTGGTCGCGAAGCTTCAAAGGTTTTTTTTTTCGCCCTTCTTCTCTGTGTTGTAGAAATGGGAATTATAAGGGATTTTAATTTAATTTTTTTATTCATTTCTGTAGTTGTGGAAGAGAATTTGTTCAGAGACAGCTACAGAGATCAACCTTCTTCTCGACAATTGGAAATACCTTCTTGCTGGGATAGTTTTTCAGGTTTTATTCCGTTTCAGATTAAACCCATATCGTTTTTCTTCGATCTGTTGCGTTTAAATATTTTCAAAAGTTTATTTCTTTCTGAAACAGTTTTAGCATTTGAAGTAGTGAATGGTGAGTGGAAAAGCTGCCATCTTTCTTAAAAAAACATACATATATATTGCTTTATCAATGCTTTTTTTACCTAAATGGATGTTATTGTCGTTTGTTTAAGTTTTGGGTGAGCTTGTTTAGTGTTTTTGCATTGTTCAAACTTCAAGTATGCTAAATTAGAACATTAAGAAGGCTGTGGGTCTAATATCTGGTTTTGTGCCTGCAGTATATTCATGGTCTAGCTGCCCGAGGAGTTCATTATTTACATCAGCCGGGGCCAACACTTCAGGATCTTGGTTTCTTTCTTCTTCCGGTAGGAACAACTTTCTTTTGGTTTTGTTCTTTGTTTATCTCTAGTTCATGCCAATTATTTGGTGAAATGTCTTATTATATCTAGTTTTTGTGTAAATTTAGGAGCTTGGGCAAGATAAAGGCTATATCAGTGAGACATTGTTCAGCTGTGTCTTTTTATCATTTGTATTGGTAAAGTTATTCTCATGTTGTTGGCGTTTCTTTCTTTACTTTTGTTCAGTTCTCACATTTTTAGTACATGATATGCAGTTCTTTTATTCTGCTCCATTAGCATCTTTTATTTCCAATTTCTAACTCGTGAATTGCTCCATTTGCAGTGGAGTTTCCATCCTTTCATTTTCAAGAGCAAAAAGATCTATACAGTTCTAGTTTGGTGCAGGGTGCTAGCATTTTTAGTTGTAAGTATACCCAACATATGGCCTTCTTGTAAGACCTTTTTTTTTTGTAGGTTATTCCTTCTGTCAAAGTAAGCCTATGTATGTCACTGTGATTATTTAGAATCGTTAGATTCTCCTATTGAACATTAGAATGATTGTCCTTGTTCTGTGCCCGCTAAAAAAATATAATAGAATGTATATCAATTTGAAGTACCATTTTCATCAATAACCTGTTCAATCAAACTGAACGCAATGCTGAAGTTGTTCAACTAACTTTATGAACATTATGAATCTTGATAAATCATGAAACCTTAGGCCATTCCTCAGTTTTTTATTTCCTTTGTTTATCCATGTGATGCAGGCTTCTCAATTTCTCCGAATCATTACATTCTATTCTACTCAACTACCTGGTCCAAATTATCATTGCCGAGTGGTACAGTCTTCAACAGTGATCTTAACTTTATGATTACACTATGAAATGGAATTATTATTATTATTTATTATCAGACACTCCTGTTCTTCGGGTTAACAACATTTAGCTATGACCTCTTCTCTTTGCAGGGTTCAAAACTTGCCAGGTTGCCAAAACCAGATAGTGTGCTTGAAGTCCTCTTCATTAATTGTATGTATTCTTATCGTATATAAAATTTCAATTTATTTCCTTTAAATTTATAACTACGATTTTTAGTAACTAATTTGGCTAATTTACTTGTTGATTTTTCAGTTCCTCGAGGTGTAATATATGGTTGTGGTGACTTGATTTTTTCATCACACATGATCTTCACCCTGGTCTTTGTGCTCACCTATCAGAAATATGGCACACAAAGGTAAATTGCATGGCTTATTCATTTAACTTATTTTTAGGTATTAGCCCGTTGATAAAGGGAAAATAATATAACTATTAGGAACACCTTGAGATTATCATGTCAAGTACCATTCTTGTATTACTTGTGATTCTCAATAGCAAAATGTTTAGATAAAGCTGTACCATAAGCATGTTTGATTAGTTTTCTTGTATACAGTAATTGGGGCAAAGAATTCTAGCATGTTATGTTGCTATACATAAGAGCGGACAATTATTTGGTTTTTGATGGCATTGTTGTCTAATTGCAGGTGTATAAAGCAGTTAGCTTGGTTAGTAGCCGTCACCCAAAGTCTCTTGATTGTGGCATCCCGCAAACATTACACGGTTGACGTAGTTGTCGCATGGTATGAAGTACCCTTTTGAAATTTCTATTATGTATATTTTTTATATTTCTTTTGACTTCAGTATGCACTCTGCACAGGTATACTGTTAATTTAGTGGTATTCTTCATAGACAAGAAACTGCCAGGTTAGAAATTAGAATGCTTTCGACTTTTTTACCTTATCTAGTTTGGTATAACATATACTATTTCTGTCGGTCGGGTCATAACTTTACCCAATAGTTTTAACACCAAGATATTATTGCAGAATTGCCCGACAGAACCAGTGGAAATTTACCAATGTTGCTACCTTTGAGCACCAAAGACAAGGATAGTAAGACCAAAGAAGAGAACCAGAAGCTCTTGAATGGGAATTCGATAGACCCTGCAGATTGGGTATAGTAATTGTATATGCTAATATTTCCTCTTTGAATTTTTTCATGGCAATATCCAATTTATATCGGCATTTATGTTTTTATATTATTTGTTTAGAGGCCGAGAACTCAAGTTAATGGCAAGATTCTGGAAGATGCAAACGGAATCCATGTCGATACTGCAATGAATGGTGCATAGATGATGGAAGCTGCTTTTGATCACTGTAATTGTGCTCTGCTCGAATCCATCTGATCTCGGAGGAAAAGGCTTAGCCTTTTCCAGTACTGCTAATTTGATTTGTATTCTTAAGAAAACAGAAAAGAGTAGTGAACTTGTACATTGTGCTGTCCTTCCCTATCTTGGTTAAAGTCATCAGCCATCATCATCAGCATCCTACATATATCATGGAATTTTCCGAATTCCGATTGCCACTGTGATTCTCTTGTGTTGATGCTTGTTAGAATTCCGTTTTTTTTTCTTTCAACAATTTCGAATGCTGGAAACTTGAAACTGTTCTCTCGATGCCGAAGGCTATTGAGATGAAGTATTTAAGTGTATTGAATCTTTATGTTTCTTGTCAAGGCATTGCAATTTGCAGTTGGTTTTTTCTAGTAGCCAAGAATTAAAAAACCTGTGATCCCTGCAACTTAAAAGGAAGAGCACATGACATTCCATTTCATTACAGATGATGCATGTGATAATGATGTAAGCTAATGCGTATTGTCTGAATGTTCAATTTTGCACAATTCTTTGCCACCCTTTTTTTAGTACGATTGATTGGGCACGATAATGGCCAGGCTGCTGCATCTTTCATGGTCGTGTCGGCAAATTCAATTATCCTTTCTACAATGTTTTATTGATATGCACGTTGTCTTCAGTAGAGCCAACGTGGCCTTGTTGAGGAGCACATATGTAAACATGTCTGATTGAGAGGTTAAGTAACTGTCGTACAAACTAGGTAGAAAAACCGAGTGGTTTCGGTATGTACTTACGGCATTGTCTGATTGAGAGGTTAGAGATGATGCTACAATTGCATTATTGTTGCATGTTTGAATAACCATCACTTTCTATACAGTGGAAAATAGCCAAAATGGGGTCCTCTTGAGCCCCAAGTGGGTGGTTATGCTTATGCCAACACCTGTGAGACATGGACCCCTTGACTCACTTGATTTTGTTACTTTCCCCCTTGTAGAATGAGTGGCCTGAAGAGATTCACTTGATTTTGTTAATTTTCCCCTTGTAGAATGAGTGACCTGAAAGAGAATTAATATTCAAATAGTCTATATGATTATACTATTGATATTTATTCAAAATCTTTCTTAATTATTAAAGATGCAACCTCTATAAATACAATTGTTCGACCGATAATATTTGTTCAAATCTTAATTATTAAAGACACATCCATTGTAAATATAGTTGTTCAAACCCGAGATCTTTAAAAATTTATTCCCGCAAAACATTAGATGAAGCATTGGATATTTACATTTTTGTATTTGGTTTGCCACATTAATGCACACCCATTTTATGTCGACCACTTGTGCATTAAAGAGCTACAAAGGGAAGATTTTATGGTTTAGAACAGCATTGGATAGACTCAAAAGACTCTTGTGGCGGGATCATGGTGTCATCAAATAATCATCTATGCCAAACGCTGCTTGTTATACTTGAATGAACGACTAAAAGTGGTCCCTGGAGATGCCATGCAACGGTTGTTTGTGTCCCATTGAGTGTCCCACTGCTCTATACCGATATCCATTTGCGTGTTTAGCCGAGGTATAGCAAGTGACTCCAGCGTAACACTCAAAGAAAGATAACACCAAAAGTTTCCACATGTATGGAGATGGGGTGAATAAAATGACTATCAGCCATTCCATTACTAATCACAGCAACAAGTTTCACCAGGCTCCTCTACAGTAATTCCCAACTGAATTTTATGATGATGGCATATTGAAGTGAAAGATCCATGAGATAACAAATGCCAATACCATGCAAACTAGGAGAAAGTTGAGGATGCGATGGCCGTGCCAGAAGCTTCGAGAGTCCGTATGGTGTGTCGGTCCTGAGATTGTTGTCGCGGAACTGTTGGTCTCGTTCGCTTGGTCTGTTGACTCAATCTCGTTCGCTCCAACTACATTGCGTGCAATTGAATGACAAATCTCGCTAGTCCTAAAACGATAAAACAGACCGAGTATAGGGAGAGAGGATAAATTGCAGGGAAAAAGATTTCACCACCGATGGAACTCGGTACAAAGAGTAGCTAACATTCCATCGGAAGAAAGAATACCTGTTAATCATACATTATTAAAAGTTAAAGCTACTAGTAAAGTTATCAGAATCTTCAATTATACATAATAAGATAACAATTGAAGACTGTGATATCGTAGCACTTGGCAGGCATTCTTCACCAGTATTCCAAACGTGCCAAGTTTTCGAGCTTCAAATCCTACCTGATCAACCAAGTCAATTAGGGGATTGGGGCCTAGTCAACCACTTAAGTGTAATGTTCAGATGGTACAACTGCTGGCAAACAAGCTAGAATTGCAAAACTTACATCAAAATAATCAATTGTCAATCTCTAGTGTATGTATAGATAGTAAACTGTAAAATCATTGTCAAGAAGCAGTAATTAGTTCCTAGTCTACGCAGTGATAAAAAAGTTCCATGAAAAGACAGTTTTTCACCAATAAGTTAAAAATGTTAGAATTGTTTTACTTGTTTCCTCTGATCTTAAACCAGGCTTCAGCACAGTGTTTATGAGCAGCAGCGAGATCATCCTTACAAGAACAACCCAGTTCAATAGGAACCCCAGATTCATGGCTATTACTTTCCAAACCCAAATGGCAAATTCTACAATCCCTCTCAACTTTCAACTTTGGCCAAATGCACCTTGATTTCAGGGACCTCCCTTTGAATCTCCGCTTCCACGGAACAATCCGAGGCCGAAGACACCCTCCTGGTATCTGACGCGCCGCCGATTTCTTCGTCGGCGAGAACCACCTGCAGTGGAATAAAACTGAGAGAAGCAAGAGTCGTCATCGCCATCCGAGAAGCAGACGGTAGCCTCTCCAGCGCTGACGTCACTCCCGTTGCGCCGGTGAGTCCCTTGCTCTAAATCGATATGGGACATCTCTAGTCATGACATTTGGGGGGGGGGGAATGATGTTATGAAGTTGGAATATTTTGAGGATCAATACTCGATGCGCTCAAAGCTTCGAGCTTTTGCTGGATTTTGAACAAGTTTACATAAAACATGGGAATTTAAATAGTTTAGCATCGAAGTATCCGACCCTTTTAACTCCATTACCGATTCATCAACTCATAAAATGAAAAAAGAAAGGATCATCTTCATAAATGCTCAGTAAACGAGAGAGAGAGAGAGAGAGAGAGAGAGAGAGAGAGAGAGAGGAGCTTAAGGAGACGAAGAACTCGTGCTCTGTTGACAGTGTTGTTGAAACTCAGACGCGCTGCAAAGAAGAACAGAAACGTGCAGTGGGCGCACAGGTAAACTGAGAAAAAGATTTCATTTTTCGTTTTTACATTATCAGACAATTGAAGAAAACAGAAGAGATTTGGTGTTTGTACTTTGGGATCATCGTCTGAACCACAATCTGTACGTCCGATGCCATCAGTTTATGCTGATATGTGACGATCTTTAGGTTATCAGACGTTCCAGATTTGGGGTTCTCATAATCCTTTGAAGAACAAAACGTTTTTGAGATTAACAAATTTTTGTCGGAAAATTATAGAATAGCCTCTCTTTCTTGTCGTTTCTAGTGCCGTAGTGCGTGTTTTCATTAATATTCTTTCTCGCCGTTTATGTTTTTTTTTAAATATTTGGTTAAATTACCCCATGCATTGAATGCATATTTTAGAATTTTTGGTTTTTATTATTAAAATTTTAGATCCCTCAATTATAGTTTTAAACTTTGATTTTAAATTTTAATTGTATGATTTGATCTATAAATTTTAACGGTATGATTATGTAAATAAAATTTTTCATCGTTATAACGACATAGATAAAATGATATTTTTATATAATTATGTCTAAAATGATATTAATTTTAGAACTGAATTTTAAAAGTATATTGATTTTGTTGCTAAACTTTAAAAAATTTATTTTTTCCATTAATTTGTTTTCAATCGACATCGATAACTAATCGTCGTATGTCATTAGTCGTATTTCTTAGTTAAATCAGTGTCAAAATGTTTACATTTCACTCATGTTTCTTCTGCAAGGATTTGTTTTCCACGAAACCAACTTAAAATTGACAAAGAAATATTTGAAGGGTCAACATGTAATTCTTTAATTTCTTCTAATAATCGTTCGATGAGGTTAGTTCAAGGTATGTTGTTCGTCTTCTCGAAATATTAATTTTGACAATTCATATTTTTGATCAAACACTTCAAACCCTTTCAATCTAAGAAAATCTTAAACCTCTACAAATTATGAATTTTGAGTGGATTTTATGAAAACCAATAATAAGAAAATAAATGAGAGAGAAATATGAATATTTTAACAATGATCTTATCGTAAAAGATGATCGACTAGGGTGATGATTAACTTTCGACCAACCAAAAAAACGTGATGCCAAAAGTGAAATGTTTAAATATTTAGTGGCAAAATTTATATATCTTTAAAATTTAATACCTAAAAATATATTATTTTATTTATGTCATACATCATTTGAATTTTAACGATATAGTGACATAATTATAATTAAAATTAAAGTTTAATGTTGTAATTAGAAAATTGAAGTTTAATGATTTAAATTATACATCAACTAAAATTTATTGGTTACTCTTACCATTGTTAATTTTTTTTTTATAATTTATTGATGGTCATCAGCTAAAAGCTACGACGGTGCACCATCTTCAACAAAGCTGCTAATGCCGCTCTTACCTGCGTTCAACGACACCCCCACGGCTCAAAAGTTTTACACTAACCTTACCAGTTTGGTCGGCGGGCCTCACTGGGACCCTGTCCCGCTTAAAGTGGACCATAAAATGTTCGTTACCGTTGGATTGGCGCTCGAAGTCTGCCCACCAAACACAACTTGCCAGGGTCCAAATAATGGAACGAAGCTGTCGGCCAGCATGAACAATGTATCCTTCGAGCCACCTACAGGCTTGTCTATGTTGCAAGCCTTGTACTTTAACGTCGGAGGTGTTTACACCGCCGATTTCCCTGCCAAGCCTCCTATTGAGTTTGACTACACAAACTGAGCCGTTAACAACGACCTACCTATACCATTTGCTCCTAAAGGAACCAAGGTTACCAAGATTAAGTTCAACTCCACTGTGGAGATGGTGTTGCAGAACACGGCTATTATTGGAGTGGAGAATCATCCCATGTACCTCCATGGCATTGATTTCTATGTAATAGCTCAAGGGTTCGGAAATTATAACCCTGCCACAGATACAAACAAGTTCAATCTTTTCGACCCCCAAATGTGCAACACTATTGCCGTTCCTGTTGGAGGATGGGCCGTCATCAGATTCGTAGATAATAATCCAGGTTATTTTTCTAGCGTCATTTACTTTTATTTTTTTCTTTTAACTTGACACAGTCAAGATTCTGAT